GAGAGGGAGAGGGAGAGGGAGAGGGAGAGGGAGAGGGAGAGAATGAAAGTGAGGGATTTGGAGCGGTATGAAGGAATTATTAGAAGGATGATGATGATTAATGCGATGTTGATTATTATAATGATGATAATGAGTAAAGGAGTCAATTAGTACATCCTTTGACCTCACGTTTTCTTCAAATAGTGGTGTCACTGCTTCTGGCTAATGTTTACTAATTCTATCAGTATTGCTAGTATATATATATATATTTTTTTTATAAACATTATGATTACTATATTGTTATTAATATTTCTAACAGCAGTATTAAATACTAGAAAATATTATTTAAAATCCAGGAAAAGGGTAAACAGGTGAGACAGGTACTTCTTATAACTAGCTCATTGGTGACCTAATACTTGTGGAGCTAAATTACTAAATTAGATTAACAGTGGGCATGGCGTGTATGCACATGGCATTTCTGGTGGCATGTGGTTAATGATGATAATGGTAATGGTAATAATAATGAAAATGATAAGAGAAGAAGAAAAAAAGAAGAACAGAGAGAGGGGGAGATTGAGAAAGAGAGGGAGAGGGAGAATAAGAGTTATTTATTTTTTAGAGGAATGCTTTTTTTTTGCTTATATGTTTTTGTTCATTTTTAGAGTATTATAAGTGCTTTAAAGCCGTAAATATTTTGAGATTGTTTATATTAGATAATCTAATGCCTGAGATGATGCATCTTTTACACCCAGATTTGCAATCGAGAAATGAATTCAGAAAATGCTGTGGCTGATCATTATAGATCAGGAAATCACCAGAAGGTAAGAAAGTAAAAGGGTTCAGTATCCTTTATATAGATGATATTTGTTTATTTATCACTTCTATTTTTTTTACAGTGTTATTGAAAAGAAACATAGTTATTTAGCCACATTGTTCCTTTTTTTATAAGGATGTGAGACCTTTTTATTATTATCATGGTTCATGACTCTAATGAAGAATATTTTCCAGGTAAAGATGTTATGGAATGTAGGTCGGCATCATTATTAAAAGAGCTAAAGGTAGCCAGCATACTTTATGCAAAAGTAGGCTGACATTGAAATTAAACATGTTATTATGTATTCAAGATTTAATATCCTGTATTGGATAGAGTATGATGTCTGTAAAATCTTATTTTTTAGTTGATACACACAATTTATGAAAAAAAAGACCTGATATGCATTTTCATACGTGCTCATTTGTCAAATAAGATGCCATTTAGTGAATAATAATTATTTGCTTTTTGCTATTTTTTTCAGAATCTAGACAAAAAGGTGAGAGAAAGTGGTGAGCCATCTTACTTAAGTAGGGCATCAGATTTTGCCTCTAATTCCTTGCGACATCGACTGCTCAGTAGCCAAATCAAACCTCTTGGTGAGTGCTAAATAGTTCAGCCCATTTGTTATTAATTTTGTTTACATGAGGCTTCACAAGTGCTGTGTCATGAAGGAGGATTCTAGATTAAGCCTACCTGATTGCCCTTGTTTAACCCATTTCTTGAATGAAAAAGTGTTCTTAATTAACATTATTATTACTATTATTCTTATTTTTATATCAGTCTTTCTGGAATCATCATTGTGGCTCAAGAAAAAAAATCTTGGAAAGCTGGAACAAAGATAAAATCAAAGAATTTGTATAAAGAATATGGAAGCAAACTGTATAGTAGAGTATTTTTTTTTTTTTGCAACAAAATAATCATTCTTTTATGAAATACAGAAGGCTGTGATTCATATATCAGTTTATTGGAGTTTAGAGATTACCAGTAACCTTGAATGAAAGGTTGTGACTTTGAAAGCTCCATATAAAAGTGGATAAACAGATTTTAAACAGATTTTATATCATGTGTTTTGGATGTTCATGAATATGTGATGAATACCTCATTCTCTTACATATACAAAAGGTAATGTTTTTAACTTTGAAATTGCACTGTTTACTAAATATTTGACATACCAGCCAAAGACCAAATAAAAGTTGAAAATTCTGGTAAATTAATTGCTTCGGTGGAACAAGGAGAGGCTAAGAAATAGCAGTCTTATGAACTTGAGATGTGGATAGGTGTGAAATGCAATATCAATTTATATCAATACATATCCTAATTACAACAGTGATAAAAATTATAGTGAAAACATTGTATGGAAATATAACCATATTTTGTTATGTATTCACAGGTCTCCAAATGGTTGAAGAATATGAAAAATACCCTGAACATATGTATTATAAGTGTAATCTTTGTGCAGCACATGGCAAACTGGATGCTATGTATCACCATCTCATTGGCAATAAACATACTGAGAGATACATAGTAAGTTGTTGGAGAAGTATTTGATCCAAAATTTTTATCTTTTATAGTCATGTAAACTTGTATACAGCATATGCATTGTTTTTTTAGGGGTGCCAGGGTTAGAGAAAAATAATGTGTGAGTGTTTTTCTAAGAAGTTTGATGTACAATACTGATAAATATCTCTTGACTTTGTTAAACTTGATCTGAATCTAAACAGATGGTCTTCAATTGCAGAAATCAGCATGCCTCTTGCAGAATTCAGTATTGACTGGTAATGAACGTGAAGAAATACGCAAACAACTAGTAAAGATAGAGGGCATTAACTGTGAATCAATAAAGACTTACTATGGTAAGAACATATTTGTTTGTTTATACTCTATACATTTGTTTTGAAAATGTGTAATCTCAATGGAAAAATGCTGTTTATCAGATCTTTTAACTCAAAAGCCATCAAGGGCCACATTTCATTTCATTTACTATCTTGAGGGCCAACCTGGCTTTGCAAGATTATATTCTATAAAACTGTTTAATGAATATAAAGTTTATTTTATTAGATATTAACACAAAGTAACAAAATTTATGAGACAATTTTTGTTCTTGGGGATCATAATTTCACAGGCTAATAATTATTCTTGGCACCCCACATGCCATTTATGACCATCCTGAGGGTCACATTTGATTTATGGTGGGGCCATGAGTTTGACATTTCTTCTATATGTAATGAATCATCTGTGTGTGTTTGTGCAAGTGAGTAAGCTGGCATGTATATATATGTGTGTGCATGAATGAGTACATACCTACATGTGTGTGTGCATGCATGTGTGTATGTATGTGAGTTAGTGTGCATGTGCATATGTGTCTCTATTTGATATACATACATATTAATCATTTATATAATGTTTCTGTTCCTGGATATGGTTAACCTGCCAGCTTTCATTTAGGTTCGGAATTTTATCCAAGAAAATGGGAACAAGATGGTGCTGTTAAAAAGTCTACCTTATATCATCCCGTCAAGAAGGAGCTTGAATCTGGGTAGGTGTTCACTGTCCTCTCCAAGGTCTCCATCATTGAAAAATTGATTCTTGTTTTTTTCTTTTATTGTTGTGATTATGGTCTTGTCAAAGAATGTTGTGAATTAGTAACATTTAATGAAGGAAAACTGGTGATTAGCTGAAGTTCATTTGGTTTTACTGCTATTAAAAATTGACTAACAATGCTATTTTTTTTTATCTATTTTGTGATATTTATTTGCAACTTGATGTAGTTCATATTAGTTAATATTATTGCAAATGATGACACCCTCTTGGGCATCTTCGTGTTCAACTGGACTTTCTCAATGTCTGATCCTATCATTATGCTGCTCACTGGGTTTCTTTCTAGTAACTTTTCATGTTTTTTTCTGATTTATTACTTTAATATGGAATAAAAAGTCATTCCATGTAGACACTAAGGGAAAACATCTGTACTATAAGAAATTATCTAACCATTTAATTCCTTTTAACTTTAGCTGTAACTCCAGATTTTACTCATTTGTTCATCATAGTGGCAGTTGACACAAAATATGAAATATCCTCAACATTTTTTTTTGCAGCACTTCTTCGGACTCTTCATCTCCAGTGCCTTTTAGAAGTAGATCCCCTTTAAGCCAGAGGTCTAGAAGTATGGCAGACTCACCAAATATGTCACCAAAGAGGTACAAGCGATCACCAAGGTCAAGGAAATCATGGTCCCCTGTAAGGTCACCAAAAAGACCTGCAAGATCTCCATCTCTTTCTAGATTTCGCAACAAATCACCACCTCAGGAATGCATTGAGGCTGCAAAAGGTGCCATAAGAGCCTAGAGTTATTCATTTTTTGGTGACTATACAAAGATTATAATGAAATGTTAATGAATTATTAAGTGAAGTGTAGGAATAATATGTATTATATAAATGTGGTTTGGATTATCTGAAGTGAAAAAATAACGTATTTATGTGTCATTTCAACAGCACTCCTAGAACCGAAGCTGAGAGCCCCTCCACCACCACCTCTTCAGCAGTTAACTTTGCAAACACCTGTGTCAACACCTCTTCAAAAACCTTCACCATTACCAAGACAAGAAAAGATGGAAATGAAAGATAAAGATGTCCAAAAATTTGATCTGGAGGAACTTATGATTCATATGAACTTTATCATTAAAACACATGATATGTATGGTAAGTTATTCTCTTTTGTATGCAGTATTGAAAATGTAACTGATGTATTTATTTTTTAGGTAAATATATCATTTATAGTATTTAAAGGCTTTTGCTATTATCAGCCAATACTGATAATGCTACTGCTTTGTGAAGTAAGGAAAGAATTATTTTAGTTGTTCATGATATATATGTAATGAATCAGAGGATCTCAAACTGGAGGTAAAAGCTCAAATATAGTGTAGTTTTAGAATATCCTATTCATATCTTAAATCTTAATAAGGTATCAACTTAATTAGTGTACCATAACCCACTGCTAACATGTTATATTCACTGTAGTATTGTTTTCAGAAATGTATTTACACACAGATGGCTTCACAAGTGCAAAGCCATAAAGAATTTATTAGTAGAAGTATATGGCCTGACCTAATTTCCCCGTTCCTTGAGTTATGATAAAAATGTATTTTTACGATGCTAACAAGGTTGATGTTGGTCCTATTGTTATTGATATTATAATTATTAGTGTTATAAACAATACTAATAGCAATATGAAATAGAAAAAATATATTTTTAAATATAAAGGAAAATTGTAAACAGATAAGATGTATAAGTTTAATAATTGAACCTTGGTGACTAAGCATTTTTTGAGCCATTTATGTGTAAATACTATTAATAAACTAAACTCACTGTGGGCATGGCATTCATTTGCATGCCATCATTGGTGGCAGAAGGTTATAGTATAGGAAAATAATAATTTATAATGTTTTCTCTATGAACATGCATCATTTTTTTTATACAAAATGCCAGTCTTTGAAAGCTTACTGAGTCTCCAATATTCCAGAATTTTTTGTATGATTTGTTTAGCCTGTATGATTTGTTTTCTAGAGCAAAAATGTCTGCCATTACACAACTTTCTGGTAGGTTTATTACACTCAGACCTGACCAGAGCTATATTCAAATTTAAATATCACAAACATTTTTTCTTAGGAAAAGCACCATATCCCTATGGTACCCATTGAAAGACATACACATGTAAATCCAAGAAGAGGTGGCAGATTATGGATTTGATTCATTCACAGTATAAAGCTAATTTTCACCTAAATGGTGACAAATAGACATGCATAATTAGACTTGCTAGAATTGTTTGTATATCTTGTACTATATGGCAGCCTTTCCACAGCCTTTCAAAGCTTTGATAGTTTGCATCCCCCCAATTCCTCTGTCCAATTCCTAAAATATGAGAGCTGTGTTGAAAGGATGAAAGGCTGACTTTGTGCCAGTCATGAATGACCTCATGGAGCTACAGGCTTGGTATTCCCTTGGTAGTTGTCTAGCCCTTACCCCTCATGGGGACCTTGAAGGGTGGACCGTTTATCATACCCACTTATTTCAGGCTTCCCATGGTCAGTAATGAAGATTTTGTACCCCTAATAAGGGCATTGCACCTTTATCAATAAACTCCCTAAATCTGACTCCTATGGTTTACTGACTCCTGACACTCCTTTGACCAAGCTCTGACCACTGATTCTACACCCCCCTCGATGACACCTACTATCAACTTAACCCATCTTGAATCGTCTACCCAGATAACTCAACCTCCAAATAACACACTTCACTCAACCCCAATATACTTGACCCTATCCTACTCAACTACTTCCCATTTTTTTACATCTCCCTCCCTTGTTACAACTCTTCAACCTTATTGTCCTCCCTGTAACAACACTACATCTTTCCACACCACACCCTCTTCCTCCCGTCCACATCCATCTACAATCCTTTTGAATACTTTTTGGCCCAGCCAAGTGGGACAGATTTTTGTGATGTCTCCTACAGTCCAGTACTTTGACAATACCCTACTCTTCCAAAAATGCCTTCAAAAATAAGTAGGCAAAGTCTCCAAAGTCTGCAGCCGTCCCGATTGCTCATGCCTTATCACAGTTACATCTGAGTCTCAAGCCCATGTAATATTTACCCTGGTTGACCTCACTGGTAAACCTATCCATGTACAACCTCACCCTATCAGGAACTGTTTCCATTCCCCCAAATAATTGCCCTATCTATAACAGGAAATGGTCAGACTGTGAAGAAGACCTACTTGACTGCAAAATCAGTACAGTGCCACACTATCCCTCCCAGAGGCCACCGAAAGTTGCATGATAGTATTGCCAGGATTACCTTCCGTAGACATGACCTTCCCTATAAGGTCTGTATCGATGGAGAATGGTACCAAGTCAGACCCTATCAACCTCCTCCTCATCAATGCCAGAAATAGTGGCGTTTTAGCCATCCTGCAAAGCACTGTCGCTCCACGGCTCGATGCCCTCTATGTGCCCAACCTGGTCATGACTGTGCAAACTGCCTTGCACATGTTTCAATTGCTGTGGCCAACATAATGCATTTTATAGGAGTTGCCCTACCTACAAATTTGAATCAGAAGTGGCAGTTCTCAGATACAAACTCTGCTTTACTCTCTGAGAAGCCAAACAAGAAGCACACCATCGAGGTTTTTCGATGAGACCTTACTCCAATACTATCCAATACTCTACTGCTCTCCCCTCTACCCGAACTGTCTGTACATCTTCAACAATACCTCTTCCCCGTACTTCTCACCTTCCAACCTCTACACCTATCTCCCAATGAAATCCATTTTCCATTCTAAATCCAGATACTCCAATATCCACAACTCCCCCTATGCCTACTCCTCAATACCTTATCCAATGCACCAGACAAGCTAATCATTCTACCCCATCTTCACCTACCTCATATACACCTTCAATTATATTTTCTTCTCGTCAAATACCTACCCACTCTTCACCTCAAAAAAGTTCCTTCAGTTCCCAAACCTCCCTGTCCAACTCCCCTCCAGAAACCCTTGAGGACATCTGAAATTTCCTAAGCATAACCCAAGAAAATATTCCATTCTCTCAATCTCCCACTCCACCTACAACTAGTGTGACTGCAGACATCCATCCTCCTTCTCCTGATATTCTCCTTATCCCTCTTCCCCCTACCCCTTCCCAACATACTTCATCCCCCTCCCCCTCATCCTTCCCTACATTCCTCATCCTCTTTGACCAACCCCCAACCTCCTCCCCCCTCCCCTAACCCCATCCTTCCCCACTATCCCTCCCACTCCCTCCTGGATACACATGTGAATCCCTTTTATCCTAATACCCTACCCCAGACCCGACCTCCCCAATTGAACTCCCAGACACTACTCCACCTATTCCTGATCCTTTATCTGAACCCTCAGATACCCTCAGACCACCATATCTACAGCTATCACCCATTGATTAATCATGGCTTTTCTACAATCTGTCTTCAAGAAACCTTCCTAACACATCTTCTAGTATCGATTCCAAATTATCATTTTGTATCATCCCCTCACTATATTGCTCAATCCTCAATACTAATTAATTTAAAAATTCCATACACTACCTCCTCCTTTCCATTATCTGCATCTTTCTTCAATGTTGGATCACGGTTATTTCAGTTTACCTTTCCCTTCTCTTCCTATTGACTTTAACGCCTTCAAAACTTTACTTTAGCAACTTCTACCACCTTTCACCACAACAGGCAATTTCAACTGTCATCACACTCTTTGGGGTGATACCACCACAACCTCCCGTGGTCAATCCCTAGAACACTTCCTTTCCACAACTTACCTCATTATCCTTAATTCTGATTGCCCCACACATTTTGACATGTGCACACAATTATTTTCATGCCTTGACCTCTTTCTATGTTCCCCTTCTCTCTATTTAGACTCATTGGTCAGTTCTAGACCAATACCCCTATAGTGACCACTTTCTGATCCTCCTTTCTCCTACTTCATATAACCCACTTCCTAATCCCCCATATGGTACTTAAATAGAGCTGTCTGGCAAACTTTTGCTTCACTTGTTACTATACCTCACACTCCATCCCCATTATCATCCATTTCAAACAAACTACAAATGTTTTCAACCACAGTCATAAGAACAGCCTACACAGACATTTCCCAAACCTCTAGACCTTATATGTCTAAATGTGTTCCATGGTAGAACTCAGATTGTACTAAAGTGCTACATCTAAAATGCACAGCATGGAATAGTTACTGATATAAATGAGACACTCCTAACGACCAGCAGCCCTTATCACCTTTAAAAAAGCATCTGTCCACCATCTACGTACAATTCAAAACCGCAAAACAAATAGCTGGAAATTTTTTTTTCCTCAATTACATCTACAAAATCCATATCAGCTATCTGGCAACAGATTCACAAAATATCAGGCAAGCATCCTCCCCATCCAACTCTAGTCCTCCATATTCGAGATACTCACATATCGGATCCTCTCCATGTCGCTAATTAACTAGGTGACTATTTCAGCCAAGTTAGTAGTGGCTCTCATCGTTCTCCACACTTCACTTCCATCAATGTCACCAAAGAACATACTCCCATCATGTTTTTCCTCTCTTCCGATGAGCCATACAACACTCCCTTTTCATCCTCAGAACTACACACCACCTTAAGATCATGCCGCAACACCCTTGAGGGCCCTGACGGTATTCACTACCATAAGCTCTGACACATCCCATCGTCCTCTTTATCCTGCCTCCTAAATATCTATAATCAAATTTGGATGACAGGAAATTTTCCATCTCACTGGAGTGAAGCCCTTGTTCTCCTATTCTTGAAGCCCAACAAATCAGGTACCATCCCACATGATTACTGCCCCATTGCTGTAACTAGCTACTTAAGCAAGCTACAAGAGTGAGTGGTAAACTTTTGGATAATGTGGTAACTTGAGTCACACAAACTTCTCTCTCCTTCCCAGTTTGGATTCCGTTGTGCCTGCAGCACAGCAGACCCCTTTAGCAGACCCCCTTGCTCATTTCAAGACCTATATAACATCCGCATTTGCACGCCATGAATCCATTTTAGCCATATTCTTCGACCTAGAGAAAGCAAATGATACCACATGGAGGTATCATATCCTCTAACAACTGCCCTCTCTATGCATATGCAGAAACATGGGTGTCTTCATAAAATCCTTCCTCTCCAAACAAGCTTTCCAGGGTAAAATTGCTTCTTCCACATCATCTTATCCTCAGGTTGAAGGCATCCCACAAAGCAGTGTTCTCAGCACTACCTTATTCCTTACAGCTGTGAACGATGTATCAGTTCTACCACCAGGGACCTGATCATCACTATATGTTGATGACTTAACCATCTATGCCTTTGGTCCATCCATACATGCACTCCAACAACTTCTTCAGTCAGCAATATCATCAGCATCTTCCTGGGCCCCAAATCATGGCTTTCATTTCTCTACTACCAAATCCTTTTCTATCCTCTTCTCATGCAAATGTTTAAAACCCCAACTTCAACTCTTGATTATGGATGACATATATATTCATCTGCCTCTACCTCACTTCTTACTCATCTTGATACTATGGCAATGGATTTTGCATCCGCCATAGACTGGTGTCAATCATCTCTTTAAGGAGCTTTTGTGTGTGGGTGTGAGTGCCCACAGGTATGGCTGGGGGCTGGAGATCGCCGGGGAGAGCCGGGGCAGCTCCCCCGACGGCTAAGGCCTGGGTAGGTCTGGTTGCTGCGTGCTGTGTCTTGCTCTGCTGGAGGATCGGTAAGTGCTGAACTCTGCCCGGGTGCCGGAGCTTAAGTGGGGCTAAGCTGTGCCAGCTACCCGGGAACGAGGGGAGCCTGTGGTCCAATAGGTGAGCCATGAGGTGTCCAGTGTCAACTAATCAAGTCTTGGTATGCGTCTTCGAGAAGCTGCTGATGGTGAGGGCGAGAGGATAGGCTGTGGACCTGGACCCAAGCTGGGGGAAGTATGCCGCACTGCAGGTTGTGGAGGTCGGCTACAATACAATCTACCATTGTGGTCTCTGCAGTTGAGAACCTGTATGCTGAGTCAGGCATACCATCTCTCTCTCAGTGCCATGCCCTCCTCTCTCTCTGATGTTATGCATGCTTCCACCAACACTCCCTCATTAAATTAACTATCCCTCAATCTCTACTTTCTACCTTTACCTCATCTCCATGTTTATCAACACCATCCACATGAATACTCTCCTTTCCCAGTCTCCAACCTCTCCCCATCTCTGTCCATTCAGTTCCTCCATGGCTTATACCTTACCCCCACATTTGCTCCTCTATGTTTCCTGACCCACCAAAGTCAGAGATACATCCTTCTGTCCTCCTCACCCACTTTCTTAACCATGTTTCTACTCATTCCTCTACTCATATATATATATATATATATATATATATATATATATATATATATATATATATATATATATATATATATATGTATGATTATGATGTATGATGTATGATGTATGATGTATGATGCATGATGCATGATGCATGATGCATGATGCATGATGCATGATGCATGATATATGATATATGATATATGATATATGATATATGATATATGATATATGATATATGATATATGA